AGCGGGCTTGGTTGACCTTAAAGTCCTTGTTCCATTACCTGACTTGAGGGGAATGTGGGAGATGGATCCTGACCAAGCAGGTCAAGTCGTGGAGATACTCAGCATGGCCCTGGACGCCCTCCCTACAGCTGCCTAGACCAGCCTCGGCGACTTCGCCAGTTCCCTAATTACAGCTGTGCCTTGTCTCTAATGGGACATAATTTTTTAAAAAGAGTTTTATAATTATCGCCCTTTATATAACTTCTTAAACATGCCATATCAACAGTAATCAGTACGGCAAAAACATCTTCACTTGAAGTTCTCTCACTTGCCTTTGTACCCACCATAAATGTAAAAATTAAGGAAAAAATCCCCTTTCCTTTAAATTTGAAACTCTCTGAATATAACAAGGATAAGCGAGTTAGTAAGCAGGATTGCACCTAGAAGTAAGACTCAGATCATATACTGTACTCTATCCCTGGTCGATGAGCACCTGGATTCTTGCCAAGGACAAAAATCATAGATTTTGAATATTTAATAAGTGTGTACTGCTTCTAGAGATGTCAATTTGCTTTCCACTCAGAAAGCCACTCTGGATACCAGATGCTGAGACCAGGCCAGAAATTCCCTTGCTCAGAGACAGGCTTTCTCCAGATCAGATGAAAGTGTCAGGAAGTGGAGTGGAAATACAGGAAATTGGTCTAATTTTCAAGTATATTAATGTCGTGTTCTGACATTCGAATGTGTAAACAATTTTCAGTACTCAGAAATTTTCTAATTCTTCTCTAGTCCAAAGAAAAGGAACATAATTCTAGATCTCAGGTTTTAAAAATTGATATTTCCCATATCGTACTGAAGGATGAAGTTTAATCTGTGGCCTGTGCATGGGAGAGTGAGCAGGCAACCGAGTGAAAGGGACACGTCCTGAGCGTGCTCCTGTCAACACCCCTTTCAGGCAAGCAGAATTCAGACCTTTGCAATAGGAGTTGGAGGCTGGATGAGGATGAGGGATTTTAAACAGTGTCTGTGCAGGCAGACAGACAGACAGACAGACAGAC